ACTTTACTGGTATTGCTCCATGCGCCGTGGCGCAGAGTTCGATGGCGTGGCCTGGAACAGCCAGGGCGCAGGGCGCCCGTTTTGAGATCCAGGATCGCCCTTTGGGTCGGATGGCGGCAAGCGCGGTGTTGTTGTGCAGGTTTCGCACACCGTCGCTGGGCGCTAGGATGTCCGTGGCAGTGGTGCGCGCGCCTGATGGCCGCAAAGGATCGGACCGCGCGGGCTGTCGACTGTGTGCTTTCATGGAGGCGCTCAGTACACTGGAGTCTTTTGAACGCCCTCTTCACCCTGGCATCTGCCGCGGCTTCCATGTTCGCGTGGGGACAATCGACTACAGGCGCCGCGTTTATATTGCTACCTACTTGCTTCACCTGGTGGCGAATAGTGAGCGGATGCTGGTGCAGGTGCAGAGCGGCCACCTGTCGGTCTGTGAAGCTCCTCGCCCAGGGCCCACCCCGCGACTTTGCCAGGGTGTATCACCTGGGGGCGCCTGAAAGTCCTCAGCTGTAGGAGCCGTGGAGTTGCTGACACCGGCGATCGTGGTGCCGAGCGACCGGGGGACGTGCTGGTGTCGCCGCCCAGTCCAAACGCGCGTGAGGAGTTTCATGCCGTCCAGGGAGAATGCGCTGCAGGGGCGGGGCGGAGGCGCCTCCCAGGCGGAGGCGCCGGCCGTGGTTGGCGTAGAAGTGGCGTCTGCGCGATGTCCGCGGGGCACCCAGCGTGGGACGCGGGTCGGGGCATTTCTGTCTGTTGAGTGCGGCGCGCGCCAGCGGCGGTTGGTGGTGCCGCGTGTGTTCGACTGTGGGCGAGCGTCGTGCTGACGTCGCCCATGGCGGCGCGGGGTTCCGCACCGAAGCTGGTGGGGTAGGTCTAGCGAGGTCTCTCCAGGATGCCAGGCGGCGGTCGGCGGGTGCTTTCCAGGCCTGCATCCAGGTGGGCATTGCGGACAGGAGCCCTCTGTCCGTGGGAAGCTCACCTGCACCTTTGCGTAAGGCAAGGGTTGGACATGTGGAGAGGCGGTGGAGGCACTTCCCTCGTCCTCTGCACGGCGCGGAGCACCTCGGCCGGTCGGGGGCGTTTTTTGTTGGCTTTCCCGGTGGTCCATCCGTCGAGCCCCCCAGATTTGGCAGCTGCCTTCGTCCCGATGGCATGGACGATTCACTGGTCCGTGAGAGTGCAGGGATCGGCCCGTGCCGGCTCTTGGGGTTCCTGTTGGTGCCCCGATCTGAAAGCCTCCCACGTATGGGGCGACCTCCTCGTCGCGGCACCCTGTGGCGCGGTGTCTGTCCTGGATGGGTTCCCGCGTGTCGATCATGGGTCTGATCGCGGCATGGGTGTCCGCGAGCATACAGTTTGGCTCCGCCTGGACCGGGACGTTGTCGTCGTGGCTGCTGCTGTCGGTAACAGAACCGCTGGGCGCAGTGGTGGGGTCGGCGTCCTGCGCCGGCTTGTCCTCCTCCAGTCTTTTCGGGGATCTCGGGGTCCTCTCGGGGCTCTCTTCGGAGGTCTTGGGGCCCTCTCGGGGCCCTCTCGGGGCCCTCTCGGGGGTCTTTCGGGGGTCTTTCGGGGGCCTCTAGGAAGCCCTGGAGCGCCTCTTGGGGCCATCCTGGAGGCCATCGATCAAAAAGGAGGGGTCCTGAATTTCCTTCCCCCCCCCTGTGACCATGTTGAACAACGAGTTTTTGCTGTTCGGTTTCCAGCGAACCAGAGAGGGGACAAAAACGGCAGCCAAACACATAACAAGAAGCCAGCACGCCGGAACGGAGAAAACAGCGCCGACCTTAGAAACAGAAAATAACGGACCCCAACATGGGGAAACACGCCGATTTTCAGAACAGAAACCATGCCCTCAGCGCTTTTAACATCACCTCAGTTCCCACATGGGGTCCGAGCAGATGGTATCGGAGGATCACGCCGCATCGCCGATGCGGTTCGATGTGGATCCCGATTTTATCCACTCCGCCAGCGCCGACGCACCGTCGACGTAACCGATGCGTCGCCGATATGTCGGCGATGCATCGACGATGCATCGGCGATGCAGCGCGATCCTCCGACCCCACATACTCGGACCCTATCCAGGAGGCCTCTAGATAGTCCAGTCTGGAGTGCTAGTGCTAGGTCTGGCAGTCGGGGGCGCGGTTAGGCGGGAGAGAGGCTCAGGGGTGGAAGGCATCGACCCCCGCTCGCCCATTCGTCGCCGACTGGGGCCCGACAGCCCCGCCCCCGCCTGGGAACGTTCGGATTCGCTGTCGGAGGCCGACCGCCGATCAATCGGCGATCAATCGGCGATGTATCGCAGATTCCAGGTCGATCCTGAAGGGGCCCTGGGACACACAAATAAATACACAAATAACAGGATTCCCCGTATTTTCCAATATTTTCTGGGTTTTCGTCTTCCCCCCACTTCCCATATTTTCCTACATTTTCCTGGGGATCGACGATTCATTGTGTCTGTTTTTTTTTTTTTTCCCCTCCTGAGATCCCCCTCCCCCTGAGCCGTTCCCCCCCGAACGTTGCCCCTCAGATCGAGCGTGGGGGTCTCGCAGGGCTGCCCAGGAGCCTTGCCGGGCTTCCTCGGATCTCCCCCAGGGCGTCCCGGAAGCTTCCAAGGACTCCCGAGAAAGCCACGTGCACACTGCGACACGGCAGGTACCATCACCTCCCGCCAAGCCACCCCAACCCAACCCGAAGGCCTCAATTTGCCCTCCATTTCCAGTGTGGTGTGTGGGGGGGGGGGTCGGGGAAAATTGAAAAAGCACATGGAACCCGTACCCCCCCCGACCCGAAATTCGGGGTCCCATTCGGGTCTTCGGGTTGGGTTGGGGTGGTCCGATAGGCAGTCGTACCACACCTGGAGCCAATCGGAGCTCGCAGTGCGACGCTGGAGCGCCAGACAGGAAGAGCCGCAGCAGGCGCACGCAGCCTCGGGCGCACAGGCCTTGCGCGCTCCGCGCACACCGCTCTCTGGATCGACCAAACATCGGAGGTTGATAGACCTCCTACCCTGACACGTCGATTAGCGAATTGGCCGTTTTCGGTTCGCGAGAGGGCGTCGCGGCCGTCACTTTTGCGGGTCCATGTCCTTCGGTTTCGGTCCCAGGCCGTTTTCACTAAAGGGAGGTTTACTAAAGGGAGGTTTGTCCACCGCCGAAAACAGCAGGCGACACTACCCCACCTGTCGGGGAAACACGTAAGACTCGAGTAAGCCGGAACTCGGGTCTGCCGGCGTTTTTGGACGAGCGCGTCCCGGATTTTGACGGTCCAGTTTTCGTGGGATGTTTGCAGCGGGAGCCCGCGTCAAATTTCAGATTTAGTCTCGTCATTTTTGTGATGGCCCCGTCAGGCCAACCCGAGTCCTCCTTACCCGAGTCTTACGTCTCTCCAAGCCTGCAGCCCTCCATTTTGCGCTGCGGCTCATCGGGGACCGTGGCGTATGCCATGTAAAAACCCACGCCAGATCTCCTGGTGTGCGCTAAGCTCCGTGCGGCCGTGGGTGGGGTGGTGTCGTTTTTTGTTGTTGTTGGTCCTCCGGGGTCTCGACACTCCCTGACACACTTCCTCGAGGTGCCATCGGGACGCCTTCTCTGATTCAACCTGCCCCAACACCTGCGGCCACTTGCAAACCCTGCCCTTGCGGGTTCAATGGCCGCTCGTGGCTCGGACATCCCCGCTGGGGCTCGCTTGGCTGCAGACATCCTTCCGGTCCTGAACCCTGGCCGGCTTTCCAGAAATCTGACCTGCAAGTTGGACAGGGTTTTCTTTTTAAAGCCCGCGGGCGCCAGATGGTCCAACACAGTCAGACGCCACTCAGCAAGCGGCGGGGTGCTCCGGTAGCGAATCGAGGCACGAGGGCGAAAAGGCACAGAGCGCGGGGGTGGGGGGAGAAGACGGAGGAGCCCGCCCAGACCACGACAGCGGCGTAGGGCTCGCGCGCGGCAGTCTGCGACGGCGACGGAGACGCCCCGTGTGCCGATTGCCCTTGGCCGCGCCGGGGGGCCGCAGGGCCGTGTGCCCGCCGGAGCGCGCCCCGGCCAACGGGCCTCCCCTCGGCAGTGTCCCGGCGCAGCGGCGCTGCGCTGGAGCGCCCAGCGCATTCCCGTCTGTGCGGCCCGCTCGTGGCGAGCCCGCCCGCCCCCAGCCCGAGACCTCGGCCTTCAGGATTGGGCCCGAGCAGATGGGGTCGCAGGGTCGCGCCGCATCCCCGCGCCGACGCCCGGCGGTGCGGCTCGCGGTGGAGCCCGACTTTCTCCACGCCTGCGCCGAGGTGCCGTCGACGTCGCCAGTGCGCTGCGTCGGTGATGCATCGGCGATGCATCGCCGACGCGGCGCGATCCTCCGACCTCCACCTGGGAGGCATCTGGTCTGGTCGGCCCGCTCGTGGCGAGCGCGCCCGCCCCCCCGCCCAGGAGTTCCGCTCCACTCTTGAGGCTTCGGGCGGGTTCGGGCTCTCATGTGGGCCCGGCGATCAAAAAAGTATCCCCCCTCCCGGGCAAGGGGAGCCCATGGCGTATCGCGTAGGGTCTACGAAATACATCTGGGGTCCTGAGCTGTCGGCCTTCTGGGGAGCTCTTGGGGGGGGGGGACCCTCGTCGGGCACGGCGGGGTCTGCCTCGAAGTCCTGGCCAGAGCGCGCTCCAGGGGGAGGGGGGGGGGCATCCTTCGGAGGACGCTGATGCCGTGCGGAGTAGGTCCGCGCGGAGTGCTCGGACTCCGTCTGGGCTTGCTCCGTCTTGATTGGGCCTCAGGATCGGCGTCGGCGCGCAGTTGGCGTCATCTCGTGCCTGCTGCGAGCGCATGGATCGAACAGCTCGCCTGGGAAGATGAGGTGGGGTTCAGGGTACTTGCGCTGCAGCAGGGCCGGGGGATCATGCATAAGCTCTGCCCATTTGGCTCAAGCCAGCTCGTGCTGCGTGTCTTCCTTCACCTAGCTTCGGCAGTTGACGTGTGCGTATTGTGGGAGTCGCTGACGAGAATCTGCAAGTTCACGCTCCGTGCCAACCATGCCGTCAGGAGAGCATGAGGATTCGCTAACAGTCATGAATTTCAATACCTACCTGCTGGAAGTGAGCGTGGGATTTCAAGTACTACGGAAACCTAATATGGAGCAACGTGCTGCTGGAATAGAGGAGTGGTTCAACAGGTTGAGTTTGGAGGAGCTACCTGATGTATTAGTTTTAAACGAAATCTATTCTTATAGGGCTGAACTGTTGGTGCAACGCATTGCCTGCAAGCAATGGTCCAAGAACAAGTCGAAGTATGTGTGGGGCGATCGCCGCATCATGCAGTGCGATCGTACATCCAACTTCCAAGCAGTCACAGCAGTTGTGAATGCAACATCTGTTGCAAATCCAGTGAAAGAGGGTGGAGTTGTAGTCTTAGTCAAACGGGGGCTCCAAATGCTTTCAGCTGAGGAGCGAGTCTTCAGGCACGCATCGGGTTCTGATTGGATGTCGCGCAAGGGGTTCTGGGCCGTGAAAGTGCAGAAGGGCAGTAAAGGGTACTGGGTGCTTGCAACCCACACGCAGGCGTGGCCTGGTGTGCAAGAAACGCAGATACGGCTCTCGCAGTTCCGCCAGATGAGGGCATTCGTCGACGAGGTCGTCGAGGATGGGTCTCGCGTCTGCTTCGCCGGGGACATGAACATTACCACTCACCCGAACGAGCTCACGGGACCTGGGAACGAGCAGTTCGGAATGTGCCAAGCCCTTGGTGCTCCTGGTGTACCAGCGATGGCGGGCAGCCTTGTGAAGCGGGGATTCTGGGTGCAGCTCGACGCCGATCTGGAGTTCAGTGCCGATGCTGATTCCAATCATTATGTCAGCTGTGATGCCACAGCGAGGGAACATGGATCGCAGCAGCTCGATTGGATCATCGCACCTGGAGTCGGCGACCGGCTGGCTGCGCCAAACGCCATGCGTTTCCAGTACGTCCCAGTGAAGGCGCGTAACAACATTAACAAGTACTAGTGAACAGTGAAACAATTAGTACGGTAAACATTTTAATAACTACAAGATAAGTTCCAGCCAAGGCATCCAACCCATTCGCGTCGGAGCTCGTCAAGGGGGTCCAGGCAGACGACCTGTCGGATCACTATGCGGTGTTCGCACATCTGTGGTACGGACTGGGCGAGTGTCCCAGCATAGCTTCGATTTGCGGCCACCGCGGGACGATCAGGCGCGTCCCCTGAATGCCGCCGCAGACTATGGTGAGACGGCTTGTCGTCCGCTCCGCTGGCAGCTCCGTGAGACGCCATGACACGCCCCACGTGCAGGGCGATCGTGTCCAGCCGCCAGGCGATGGAATTCTCGCCGTTCTGGTCGGCAGGAGGGCCCACAGGGAATTTGGCCACAGAAGCTGCCGCCAGTTGCCCCCTCGTTCTCGTCTCCTCTTTCCCTTTGGACGGTTCTAGCATGGCGGAGTTCTCTGCGCGTCAGTTTGGAGGCCGGCGCACAGACATCGCCAGGAGACGCTGTGCTTGCTGTTTTGTCTCCGCCGCCTCGATTTGCTGTTCCTCCTGCTCTTCCTTGTGGGACGGACGAAGAGCCGCCAATGCAGTCTCGGGGGGGCTTTTGTGGATCGTTCCTCATCCTTCATTGTCCTGCTTCTCCTCCTTGTGATGCTGCTTCCGCTCGGCGGTGTCCTCTTCCGCCGCATCAGTTTCCTCCTTCTTGTAAGTTTGGCGGCGAGCGCAAGGGGGGGAGTGAGAGGGGGCGGGCCTTCTCAAAAGGCTCGGATGGCCTCTAGCCTTCTCCGAAGACAGAGACGGCTTCTCAGAAGGCCAGATGGTGTCTGAGAAGCTCCGCCGCCTTCTGAGAAGGCCTGCCCCCTCTCACTCCCCGAGGCTCGCCGCCAGTAAGTGGCTGTAGAGGCTGCTTGACTGCAGTGTGGGCCACCAACACCAAAACTGCGACGCGCTGTCTGGGGCGCAGGTGGGCCGTTTTCTTTGCGGGGGTGTTGCCAGGATCGGGGGGCCCAGAAATCACTGGCATTGATGCGCCGGTGGTGGCTCCGTGTCCTCCTCGTTCGCATCTTCCCCGTCCTTCCTCCTTCGTCCTTCCTCCTTCCGCCCTCCATCTTTCTTTCTGCCTCCTGCTTTCTGCCTCCTTGCTCCCACCTCGTGCCTCCTGCGCCCCCTTCCTTTCTCCTTGCTCCTCCACACCTCTTCCTCCCTCCTCGTTCGACGCGCACTCGACGCGAACAGCGACGCGGTGGGTCAGCCTGGGCCCCCCGAGTGTGCAACACAAGGGAGAGGAGGAAGACGAGGGCGAGAGGATGAGGGACGGAGAGGACGAGGAGGGCGAGAGGACGAGTGCGAGAGGAGGGGGGAGGGGCAACAAAAAAGAAAGACAAACACATCCGACGTTTGATTTTTCAGCGCGCCCACCCCAGAAGTCTGAACCCTTTCCCTGGGGGCCAGCGCTTCGTCGCGGGCGGTTTTTTCTGACGGCCCTGGTCGTCGAAGGCGGCCCCCAAGGGGGGGGGGGCAGAACCCAGTTTTTCCCAGCAATCCTGCGGCGTGGGGTCGTCGTTTTGAAGAGAGCGCCCCGCGTCTCCTCTCCTCTCTCCTCTCCTCTCCTCTCCTCTCTCTCCTCTCCTCTCTCCTCTCCCTCTCCTCTCCTCTCCTCTCCTCTCCTCTCCTCTCCTCTCCTCTCCTCTCATGTCCTCCTCTCCCTCCTCCCTCCCTCCCTCCCTCCTCCCATCCCTGCCTCTGCCCGCCGCATGTCGACCACTTCGGTACGCCCCTCACACGTTTCGTGGCCCCATAGGGAGCTCCACCGAAGGCGCCAGCGGCAGCGTCCGCATAACGTGCCCGCACCCAATTCGGCTTCTCCCTCCCACGTTTCGTGGCCCCGAATGGAGCTCCACCGAAAACCCCAGCGGCAGCGTCCGCATGGCGTACCCGCACCCGATTCGGCACACCTTTCACACGTCTCGTGGCCCCATAGGGGCCTCCACCGAAGGCCCACAGCGGTATATAGGAACCCTGTAAAGATCCTACTCGGTTTCCTACGGGATCCCACAGAGTTTCTTAGGGATCCCTTCGATTTCCCGTAGGAGTCCTGAATGGGGTCCTACAGGGGTCCTGAAGGCTTCTTGTAAGGAGCCTATCGGGCTCTTATAGGGATCCTGTAGGGCTTCTGTAGGCCTCAGTAGGCATCGTATAGGCCATGCTCGCCAGCGTGGACCCCAAGCAGTGTTTTCGTAGCAACCTGTGTTGTGCAAATCTACGTGGTGCAATATTGGTGGTGTGTGCAACTTATTTTATGCAACATACGCTGTGCAATCTATAACGTGCAATCTTTGTAGAGCAATCGACGTGGTGTAAGTATGTGTTGTTCGCAATGAGTTGTGAACTCCACTGCTTGCGCAGTCATCCCACGCACCCACCCGCACGTTGTTTTGCAACACCCATGCGGCGCCGACTGCGATAGCTGCTTGGAGCTGGCTGGCGCATCCCTGCGGCCGCGCTAGCGCGCGCAGGCTTGCGCGCAGAACCGCCAGCTAGTTTGGCGAGGCAGACGCGGCCGCACTGGCGCTGACCACTGGCCGCGCGGACGCGCGGGTATTGCACTGTGAGTCGGTGGCTTGGGCGGGCGCGGTATCATGGCGACGTCAACACCAGCTGACATGACGATGATTGTAGTAATGCTTGTGGTGACGATGGCGATGACGACGGCGTGGCCAATGACGATCATGGTGTCCACGCGTAGGTGATGAGGGTTGTGGAACAAAAAACTCCACATGCGCCCGCGGCCGACTGGCGCGAGTGGCCCACATGATGTTATTTGACAGGGGTCGTGCACCCCAGCACGCGCGCAAAGGCGCTCAAATCATTTCGGCATGCACGCCATGTTGCACATTCATGCGTTTTTTCTCCGGAGTTATCGATGTCCGCACCCTTGCGAAACCTGGGGTGTTTGATTGATTCCGGCATGCGCGCGCGGCGACGCGCGCGCGTGCACGTGTTTCGTTGTTTTTCAAACGGGTATTCGAACATATGGTTTTTGATAAACGAGTGTGCGAGTGTGCGCGCATGTGTTTTTTGCAGAGGATGGGGGTGGTGGGGGGGTCGGTACCCGCGGGGATGGGATAATTAGATTTTGTATTTCGAATGGCGATGGGGCAGAATCATATGTAAACTGCACATCCCCAGGTGGTGCCAGTAACTCCCCCCTCGGGAGGGGGATCGGGTTTATTCTTTGGAAGGGTGAGTTTATGTGATGCAATGTATGAATAATTGCACTCTATGTTGTGCAACCTAGGTTATGCACTATACGTTGTGCAAAATTTGCGGTGCTCTCTGTGTGGTGCGCACTCTTTGTGGTGCAATCGACGTGGTGCAATCTAGGTGGTGCAATGTATTTTTGTTTGCAGTGAGTGTCCATTCGATTGCTCGCGCAAACATCCCACCCGCCCACCCGCGACCTCGTTAGCATAGCCCATGCGACGGTGATTGCGATGAGTGCTTTGCGCTGGCGTTCGGACGATTTCGACATGCGCGCGCGAAGCCTTTGTGGTTGCATTTTTCCGAAGAGTTCGCAAGCGTGCAATTGTTTTGTTTATGTATGTTTTTTTTGTCATTCGAGTTTGAATTCCTCACGACCTCACAGGTTTTTGAAGGATTTCGGCATGAGCGCGCGACGACGCGCGCGTCTGCACTTCGTCCAGTTTTTGGCAAAGGCTTCTTTGAAAACGGATGATGTTTGACCAAAGGGTGCGCGAGCGTATCTTGTTGCAGAGGATGGTGTGGGGGGGTCGATGCCGACCCCCTTGGGGGGTGTGAATTCATTTTTCGGTTGGACGATCTGGCAAACTCATATGTACATTGCAATGCGAAAAAGTGTGTCGTTAAGTCCGGCTTCGGGAGGGTGGTTGATCCTATTCCCCAGTCAGAGTTTGCCTCTGTAGGGGTCCAAGCGGATTCATTCCCCAATCAGAGCTTGCCTCTGTAGGGGGCTTAGCGGATTCATATGGATAGGTGAGGTTTGGCGCCGATTTCGGCGGCACGCCTGGGTGCCCGGGTACTTGGGTGCCCGGGTGCTTGGGTGCCCGGGTGCCCGGTAGACTCATAGCCTTCTAGCCCTATAGCTTTGTAGCTTTATAGCCCTACAGCGCTATAGCCCTATATCCCTATAGCCCTATAGCCCCAATAGCCCTGATAGCCCTATAACCCTATAGCCCTATAGCCCTACAACCCTATAGCACTACTAGCCTTATAGCCCTATAGCTTTATAGCCCAGTAGCCCTATAGCCCTATAGCGTTATAGCCCTATAACCCTGTAGCCCTATAGCCCTATTGCTCTATTGCCCTATGGTTCTATAGCCCTATAGCCCTATAGCCCCATAGCCCTATAGCCCTATAGCCCTATAGCCCTATAGCTCTATAGCCCAATCGCTCTGTAGCCCTATAGACCTTATAGGCCTACAGCCCATAGCCTCATAGCCTTATTCTAGCTCTAAGGCCCTATATCCCTACAGCCCTGCAGCCTTATAGTCCTATAGCTCTATATGCCTATAGCCATACAGCCCTATAGCCCTATAGACCTATAGCCTTATGGTCCTATAGGCCAATAGTAACATGGCCCTATAGCCCTGGAAGTATTGTTATTGGGTTTTTCTCCGGTATCATATGGTTAGGTGAGGCATGGCGCCGATTTCGGCGGCACGCCGGGGTGCCCTGGTGCCCGGGTGCCAGGTAGCCCTTTGCCCTATAGCCCTATAGCCTTATAGCCTCATAGCCCTATAGTAGCCCTATAGTCCTATAGCCCTATAGCCCTATAGCCCTATAGCCCTATAGCCCTATGGCCGTATAACCCTATAGCCTCATAGCCTTATAGCCTTATAGCCCCATAGCCCCATAGCCCTATAATCCTATAGCCCCTATAGCCCTACAGCCCTATGACCATATAACCCTATAGCCTTATAGTTTTATAGCCCTATAGCCCCATAGCCCCATAGCCCTATAATCCCATAGCCCCATAGCTTCATAGCCCCATGGCCCTATAGCCCTATAGCCCTATAGCCCTATAGCTTGATAGCCCTATAGCCCTATAGCCCCATAACCCTATAGCAGCATAGCCCTATCGCTCTGTAGCCCCATAGCCCCATAGCCCCTTAGCCCCATAGCCCCATAGCCCTGTAGCATTCTAGGCGTATAAACCTATAGCCCTATAGCCATATAGCCTTGTAGTCCTATAGCCCAATAGCCCTATAGCCCAATGGCCCCATAGCCTTTTAGCCCTATAGTTCCATAACCTTTTAGCTCTATAGCGCTATATCCCTATAACCCAATTGCCCTACAGCCCTAAACCTATAGCTTTATAGCCCTATAGTCCTATAGTCCTATCGTCCTATAACGCCCTAGCCCTGTAGCTTTACAGCCCCATTGCCATATAGCCCTATAGCCCTATAGCCCTAATGCTCTACATGCCTATAGCCCGATAACCCTATAGCCCCATAGCCCTATAGACCTATAGCCCTATGGTTCTATAACCCTATAGCCCCATAGCCCTATAGCCCGATAGATATTAGGATAGGGGCTTTTCTCTGGTATCAGTCTCTTTCCAGAAAGGAGAATCTATGTTGTGCAATCTACGTCGTGCACTCTTGAGGTCGT